TCTACCAGAAACACAAAAAAATTAGCCGGGTGTGGTGGTGCAGGCCTGTAATCCCAGCTACTCGGGAGACTGAGGCACAAGGATCGCTTAAACCCGGGAGGTGGAGGTCGCAGTGAGCAGAGACTGCACTACTGCACTCCAGCCTGGGCGACAGAACAAGACTGTGTCAAAGAAAGAAAGAAAGAAAAATGTTAGTAGGCATGGTGGGACGCACCTGTAGTCCTAGCTACTTGGGAGGCAAAGGCAGGAAAATCACTTGCAACTGCTCTCCAGCCTAGGCCACAGAGTGAAAACCTGTCCCCCTCGCTTCCAAAAATTTAGGAATGGCAACTGGGAAGTGGCTAAAAAGGTAAGGAAAACATCCCAAAAGAGTGTGGTGTCACAGCAGCTAGGAGTGGAAAGAGTTTCAAGGAAGTAGTGGTTAATTGACAAACAAGTTCATAAGCCTTTGATCCAGTAAGCTTAATCCTAGAAATCTATTTGACAAGGAGCCAGTTTGTAAAACCATGGGTCCAAGGATGCTTATTTAAGCCATGGAATACTCTTGCACGATGAAAATAAGTAAGATTATTCTCATTTCAAATATTTATTGAATGCCTGCTGTTCTCAGCATCGGGAAAACAACAGTCACGTCATGTGTCGGCTTTGCAAACTAGGGCCTCAGTCAAATCTTGGCCTGTCACCTGTTTTGTAAATAAGGTTCTATGGGAACACAGCATCACCCATTCATTTACACATTGTCTATGGCTCCTCTCGAGCTACAGCAGCAGTCTTGATTTCGTTATTATATCGAGTGGTCGCAACAGAGTGAAACTCTGCAAAGCCTACACTATTTCCTCGCTGGCTCTTCACAGAAGAGGTTTGCTTACCTCAGTCTGTGTGACTGACCACGAATGATGCTTTTGGGTGTTGTTAAGTAAAGAAGGCAAGTTTTAATATATGCATGATCCCATTTTTTTGTAAATAACACCACCTCAAGCCCCCGTCCCGCCCCGCCATTTTTTTTTTTTTTTTTTTTTTGAGACAAAGTCTCACTCGGTCATCCAGGCTGAAGTGCAGTGGTGCCGTCTTGGCTTACTGCAATCTCCACCTCCTGGGCTCAGGAAATTTTCCCACCTCAGCCTCCTGAGTAGCTGGGACTACTGGTATGCGCCACCACGTCCAGCTAATTTTTTTTATTTTTTGTAGAGATGGGTTTTTGCCATGTTGCCCAGGCTAGTCTCGAACTCCTGGACTCAACTGATCTGCCCACCTCAGCCTCTCAGAGTGCTGGGATTACAGGCATGAGCCACCTTGCCTGGCCTAAAACTCCCAGCTCTTGATACGACTACATATGTGTATATTGGATGGGTTTGTGGTGGCTTTTGAATATCAATGGGGGTAGGTCCTATACAGTCACGTCCCTCCAACTCCCCCTGCATTCCTTACTCTTCCTTCTCCCACCAGCTCTTGAATGTGCCAAACATACACCAGCCTCAGGGCCTTGTCACTGGACAGCTCCCTGCATCTGGAACTGTTTTTCTATGATTAGCGCCCCTCATTTCCTTTTGGTTTCTGCTCAATGTTATTGCTGTGGCTTGAACATGTCCCTCAACAGTTTCTGTGTTTGAGACTTTGTCCCCAGTGCATGATATTGGGAGGTGAGGCCTAATAAGAGGTGACTGAATCATGAATGAGGGTGGAGCCTTCACGAATTAATGTTATTACGGAAGGATGGGTTGGTTATTAAGAGGTGAATTGTTTTAAAGAGAGTCTGGCCCCCAGTGCCTTTCTGTCTTGTGTAAGAAATAAATTTCTTTTCTGACTGGTCCAAGTGCAATGATGTTTGCAACTAATTGATCACAACCAGTTATAGATTTCTTTGTTCCTTCTCTACTTCCACTGCGTCACATGACTAGCCTTAAAAAAAGAGAGGGAGAAATAAATTTTTCATTATAAATTACCCAGTTTGTGGTATATCAGCAGAAAACAGACTGTTATCAGAAGCGCCTCCTCAACCATCTATTTAGAAATAGCATCTTTCCCCTGAACTCTGTGTCTCTTCTTCCCCTGTTCCATTTTTTTTCATAGAACTTTTCATCACCTGAGATATTTCTTTCTGCCTCTCCCATCCCCAACTAGAATGTCAGCATCAGTGGAGCAGGGATGCTGTCTGTCTTTTTACACCTTCATCCTCAGCTCTTAGAAAAGTCCAAAAACGGGCTGGGCGCAGTGGCTCACGCCTGTAATCCCAGCACTTTGGGAGGCTGAGGCGGGTGGATCACCTGAGGTCAGGAGTTCGAGAGTCATGATTGTACGACTGCTCTCCCTTCCTCTCTCTCTCCCTGTCTCCCTCTCCCTCCTTCTCCCTCTCTGTCTCTCTGTCTCTCTGTCTCTCTCTCTCTCTCTCTCCCCCTCTCCTGTCTCTCAGCTGGTCAACATGGTGAAACCCCGTCTCTACTAAAAATACAAAAATTAGCTGGGTGTGGTTGCCCATGCCTGCAATTCCACCCACTCAGGAGGCTGAGGGAAGAGAATCACTTGAACTGGGGAGGCGCAGGTTGCAGTGCAGTTAGCCAAGACTGTGCCACTGCACTCCAGCCTGAGCGATAGAGCGAGCAAGACTCCATCTCAAAAAAAAAAAAAAGAAAAAAAAAGAAGAAGAAAGAAGAGTCCACATACAGCTAGACACAGTAGCACACACTTGTAGTTCCACCTACTTGGGAGGCTGAGGCAGAAAGGTGCTTGAACCCAGGGTTTTGAGGTTGCAGTGAGCTAATGCACTCCAGCCTGGGTGACAAAGTGAGACCCTATCAATAAAACAAAAACAAAACTGCAGCATACAAAGTAAGTGCTAATTGAGAGCAGTGCCACTCTGGGACATTGTGCAGAGCACGTGAAGCGAGACTCTCCATTCAGCAGATATTAGTGTGCTGATGCGTTCACCAGGATGTGCTGGTGGGATGGAATCTTCCACCTTCTGGTTAGTGCTGCCCAGACACACCACCTTCAAAGGGGTGCAGGGATGTCCTCACCAGATCCCACATTTCCTCCACCAAAATTTATCCATACAGAAAATTCCAGTGTGGCTCTGGAGCCACTGGGACTCTCAGATTATTGGTGGCAGTGGAAACTGGCACAATCACTTTGGAAAGCTGCATGGTGGTGTCCATTAAAGCTGAAAGCTGGTAGTGGCTGTCACCGTGACCTAGGGAGGGGAGAGCTAGGAAAGGGTATGAGGGGCTGCTGGAATTCTGGTCGGATTTTGTTTCTTGAACTGGGTACTAGGGTGCGCTGTTGATGAAAATGCACTGAGCTGTGCACTTATGATTTGCGCATGCTACTGTATGCATGTTGTACTTCACCGGAAAATTAAAACAAAAAAGGTGATAAATCTCTAAAGAAAATTACAATTACACACTTCACCTAGAGCCCTCTTTGTCATGCTGGTAACTAAAGCTCTACTGATAAGTTTTTATGTATTTGTTTATTTATTTATTTATTTCTGAGATGGAGTCTCGCTCTGCCCCCAGGGCTGGAGTGCAGTAGCACGATCTCAGCTCACTGCAACCTCCACCTCCTGGGCTCAAGCAATTCTCCTGTTTCACTGCAACCTACACCTCCTGGGTTCAAGCAATTCTCCTGTCTCAGCCTCCTGAGAAATAGGATTACAGGTGTGTGTCATCACTCCTGGCTAATTTTTGTATTTTTAGTAGAGGTGGGATTTCACCATGTTGGCCAGGCTGGTCTCAAACTTCTGACCTTGTGATTCGCCGACCTTGGTCTCCCAAAGTGCTGGGATTATACCATGCCCGGCTGAGAACTTGATTTATAGTGTTTGTACAGAAATGTTAATTTATCGGAATCAGTTGGTTGTTTATGCTTTGGTTGAGGGAGCAGCGGGCTTGTTTCCAATGGGTTTTCGGTAGGCTAAGACGTACTCCGTGGTGCTGAAGCTGTGGCTTTGTTGCCACCTGGTGGCTATCAGTGTGATTACAGTGGTAGAAAAATGAACAGCAGCTCATTCCTGCCTGAAAGAAGCTCACAGCTATTAACAGAAGGTTCTCGAAGGTCCCCGAATCCAAGTCTTCTAATTGTCAAGCCTCTTATTCACCTAGAAGTTTTCTGGCCCTTATTTGGCTACACCCCTGACGGAAAGTTCACTGCTTAACTGGGGGTCCAAGTCCATTGTTGGACATCTTTCACTGTGTGTTATTAATTCTTTATATAAACAATTACCTTCCTTGAATTGTCTACCCACTGGTCCTGGCTGTGCCCGAGGCTGTGCAAATACATCTGTTTCCAACAAATGGGTCTTTCAGATGTTGGGGTCAGCACTCAGATGCTCTATTCATGTTCTCTCTTCTGCCTAAGTGCCCATAGTCTCCCTGATACGGTTTGGCTCTGTGTCCGCACCCAAATCTCATCTCAAATTGTAATCCCTACGTGGAGGGAGGCACCTGGTGGGAGACAATTGGGTCACAGGGGTGGTTTCTCCCATGCTGTTCTCGTGATAGTGAGGGAGTTCTCATGAGATCTAATGGTTTATAAGTGGCAGTTTCCCCTTTGCTCTCTCTCTCTCTCTCAATCTCTCCCTCCCTCTCCATCCCTCTCTCTCCCTCTCTCTTCCTCTCTCTTCCTCTCTCTCCCTCTCCATCCCTCCCTCTCCCTCTCTCTTCCTCTCTCTCCCTCTCCATCCCTCTCTCTCCCTCTCCCTCTCTCTCCCTCTCCATCCCTCTCTCTCCTTCTCTATCCCGGCCCGCGGGATCGTCGAAGCAGGCCCTGGAGGAGGGAGTGGGAATTTGGGGAACAAGAGACACGAGAAATGGAGACAAGACAGTGCTCTGATCAAGTCTCGTTTAATGGCGGTAATGCAGTGCCTTATATACACTTGGAGAGGAAGGGGTTGGGCCAAGGTGGAAATGATCTCATTTCGGAGGGCGTGGCCAGGCAGGTTTCGGTTTCAATGGTCGGATGTCATGTTGCGCCTGCGCTATAAAGTAACAATTTTCGGCGCGCAGGAAAGATGGGTGAAGAAGAAGCAGGAAGAGCGCCATCTTGTGTGAGGTATTTAATACAGGGGAAAAGGACAAATCTAGGAAGGAGGTGAGAGGTGGAAATGAATAGCGCTCAGGCGTTTAATCGTCAATAATTACTTGCCATGGCCGGGGCGCGCAGCTCCGGACACTTCTCCCTTTCTCTCTCTCCCCCTCTCTCCCTCTCCCTCCCTTTCCCTCCCTGTCTCTCCCTCTCTCTCCCCTCCCTCTCCCTCCCTCTCCCTCCCTGTCTCTTCCTCTCTCTCTCTCTCTCCCTCTCCCTGTCTCTCCCTGTCCCTCCCTCCCCCTCCCCTTCCCTCTCCCTCTCCCTTTTCCTCTCTCTCTCTCCCTCCCTCCCTCTCCTTCTCCCCACATTCTCCCCTTTCTCTCTCTTCTCTCTCTCTCCTGCTGCCAGGTAAGACATGCCTGCTTCCCCTCCACCTTCTGACATGATTAAGTTTCCTGAGGCCTCCCCAGCCATACCAAATCACGAGTCAATTAAACCTCTTTTCTTTATGAATTACTCGGTCTCAGTATTATCTTTATAGCAGTGTGAGAACGGACTAACACACCCGTAGATATCCCTCTTGTGACCTGGTTTCAAGTCTGTTCATCCTTCTGGCTGCTCACCGCTCATGTGCTCAGATTCATGTGTGGCCGTCAGAGCTGACCTTGGCCTTCCTGGACTTGTCTGGATATGACTGTTGGTGCCACAGCCACGTTGTTCTTTAGGCCAGGTAAGAGCTGCAGCCTCTGTTTACACAGGTGGTGGCTGGAGCCGAATTCCTCACTCAGTCCTACGTCTCCTGCTGCTTAGAGTCAGACTGGGATCAAGAAGCTCCTGGAAGAAACTGGGTATGGTGGTGAGTACCCATAGTCCCAGCTACTTGGGAGGCTGGAGCAGGAGGCTCACTTGAGTCTAGGAGTGTAAATCCAACCTGGACAACATAGCGAGACCCCATCTCTTTTTCTTTTTTCTTTTTTTGAGACAGAGTCTTGCTCTGTCACCCAGGCTAGAGTGCAGTGGTTGAATCTCAGCTCACTGCAACCTCTGCCTCCTGGATTCAAGTGATTCTCGTGTCTCAGCCTCCCGAGTAGCTGGGACTACAGGCATGGGCCATCATGTCCAACTAACTTTTGTATTTTTAGTAGAGACGGGGGTTTTACCATGTTGGCCAGGCTGATCTCGAACTCCTGACCTCAAGTGATATGCCCACCTCGGCCTCCAAAAGTGCTGGGATTACAGGTGTGAGCCACTGCACCCAGCCAAGACCCCATCTCTTAAAAAAATAGAAGCTTTTGAAATTGTCTATTGTGGCAAATGTGGAAGCAGACCAGTCAGCAGAATGGAAATCCAGTTGGTGCTGGTGTGTAGACTCAGGATCATTGCTCAGGTTTCCAGGGCAGTGGGGAGATAGAAATGCTGATGAGAATGCCGGGTGCGGTGGCTCATGCCTGTATTCCCAGCACTCTGGGAGGCCGAGGCGGGTGGATCACCTGAGGTCAGGAGTTCGAGACCAACCTGGCCAATATGGTGAAACCCTGTCTCTACTAAAAATACAAAAATTAGCCAGGCATGGTGGCAGGCACCTGTAATCTCAGCTACTTAGGAGGCTGAGGCAGGAGAATCGCTTGAACCCAGGAGGTGGAGGTAGCAGAGAGCCGAGACTGCGCCATTGTACTCCAGCCTGGGCAACAAGGGTGAAACTCCATTTCAAAAAAAAAAAAAAAAAAAAACCCAAAAGAAATGCTGATGAGGAAAATCCTGGTTGGCCATGTGTCAGGTGGAGAGCACGAGGCCACGGGGAAGATCAGAGACAGTTACTCACAGCCCACAGCACACTTCAGTTAGCAGCGTCGTCTTTGAGCCTGTCAGAATCCTGTAGGAAGCAGCACTGAGGTTCCCTCTCAGATCTTTCCTAAGGCTGGTGCATGCAGGTTTCCGGCCTGGCCAGGCTGTGGCTTGCAGACCTTTTACTCATCATTAGTTCCACATGCTGTCATCTGGACAGATATAAGTGGAAGCCTGTTCCTGATTACCTCGGGGGTTCATGTGCGTTTCACTGCAGCCTTTATTCTGGCAGCAACAGCTGCCTCACATGGCGGCCCTCTAATGTCACAGGCAGGAGAAGCTGAGCGGGTCCTTTTAGGAGAGTGAGGGGAAATGAGTTGTTTTCAGGCACCTCGACTAGCCTAGCCCGGGCACACTGCTTGTCTCAGAGGACATAACCAGATGCGACAGGCCCAGGTGGGCCATCCAAAAATCGCAGTCCCAAGGCAGTGGTCTCAGGCATTGGCGAGCATCGTTGAAACACGGATATGTGGGTCCCATTGTCAGCAGCGGGCTCCCTGGGTGCATGCAGGGCCTGGGGCCCTGAGTGTTAAAATCCTCCTGCAGAGCCGAGAGGAAGATGCTCAGAGGACCACACTAGGAAAGGTGGAACTGAAGGGACACAAAGCAGGTAAGTGGCTGCCCAGGCTGGTGACTGAAGAGGGAATTGACTGTTGAGAGGCAGGAAAGAGTGAGGAAAATGTTCCAGATCATGATTACTGCGATGTCTACACAAATGTATGTATTCGTCAAAACTCATTGAACTGTCTACTTAAAATGGGTACACTTTACCATATGTAAATTATGTATCAATAAAGATGATAAAAAACAAAGCTGGCCAGGAGCGGTGGCTCACGCCTGTAATTCTAGCACTCTGAGAGGCCGAGGCGGGTGGATCACCTGAGGTCAGGAGTTTGAGACCAGCCCGGCCAACACAGCGAAACCCTGTCTCTACTAAAAAATACAAAAATTAGCCAGGCATGGTGGCAGGCACCTGTAGTCCCAGCTACTCGGGAGGCTGAGGCACGAGAATTGCTTGAACCCGGGAGGTGGAGGTTGCAGCCAGCCGAGATTGCGCCACTGCATACCAGCCTGGGTGACAAGAGCAAAACTCCATCTCAAGAAAAAAAAAAAGCTAAGAAGGTCATCACACGTTTTGGGCCTCCGTTTTTGTCCCCAGAGAGCCTAGGTTAAGCCTCTTTCACCCTGCCCTAAGGCCAGGTGCAGTGGCTCACGCCTGTAATCCCAGCACTTTGGGAGGCTGAGGTGGGTGGATCAATTGAGGGTCAGGAGTTTGAGACCAGCCTGGTTAAATATGGTAAAAACCCTGTCTCTACTAAGAATACAAAAGGGCATGGTGGTGCGCACCTGTAATTCCAGCTACTTCAGAGGCTGAGGCAGGAGAATCGCTTGAACCCGGGAGTTGGAGGCTGCAGTGAGCTGAGATCACACCACGGCACTCCAGCGTGGGCAGCAGAGGGAGACTCCATTCCCCACCCCCCACCTAAAAAATTCACCCCACCCTAGGCAGATGCCAGAGCTTCCTTTGCATCTAAATGAAAACGAAAACTGGGACCACCAGGCCTGTAGGGGGCGCTGTCTCTTGCAGTGTCACAGTGTTGACGGATCATTGACAGAACCCACTTTGTGCCACAGACACTCTATGGGGAAGAAGGTGGGGAGTACAGCCATGTGTCCCTTAAAGACGGGGATATGTTCTGAGAAAAGTTGCATTTGGTGATTTCAACCCTGTGTGAACATCATAGAGTCCACTGTACATCCCTAGATGGGATAGCCTCCCGCACACTAGGGATGGTGCAGCTTGCCACCGTAGGCTACAAACTACAGCGTGCAACTGACCCCATACCACCGGCGATGGTAACACAGTGGGAAGTGTCTGTGTATGGATGACGCCAGACGGGAAGCCCCAGAATTGGGGCTTAGTTTGGGAGAGTTCTTGTCTTTGTCTAGGAAGGAATTCAAGGTGATGTTAGCAACTTTTATTGAAGCAGCGTACAGCAGCCACAGAGGTACTGCCACAGGCAGTGTGCACAGAATAGCAGCTCAGGGCCAGGGGCAATTCTGCACTCATACTGATATTCACTTTTTTTTTTTCCTGAGATCGAGTCTCGCTGTGTCACCCAGGCTGGAGTGCATTAGCGTGATCTCGACTCGTTGCAACCTCTGCTTCCCGGGTTCAAGCGATTCTCCCACCTCAGCTTCTGTAGTAGCTGGGATTACAGGCGCCTGCCACCACACCCAGCTGATTTTTGTATTTTTAGTAGAGACCGGGTTTCACCATGCTGGCCAGGCTGGTCTCAAACTCCTGACCTCAGGTAATCCTCCCGCCTCAGCCTTTCAAAGTGCTGGGATTACAGGCATGAGCCACTGCAATTGGTCGAGATCCACTTTTAATTACGCACAAATTAAGGGGTGGATTATGCAGAATTTCTAGAAAAAGAGCAGTAACTTCTGGGTAGATGGGTCATCGCCATGGGAAAGGGTGATAACAGCCGGGTGTTGCCATGGCAACAGTAAACTGACAGGGCACTGGTGGTGTGTCTTACAGAGCGTCCTTTTACCTCTTTCCTGTTTCAGCTCGCCTTCAATCTGGTCTGGTGTCCAAGCTCCACCTCTGGAGTCCAGTTCCACCTCCGACCTCATCTAAACATAGAAAAGTATGGTGAAAATACGGTTATAATCTTACGGGAGGATCTTTGTGTAAGTGGCTCCTCCTTGACCCACTCACTGTTGTGTGGCTCATTGTCATGACTGTATTTGCAGTTATACTGCCTGAGTCTAGTTCCCTCATCTGCTAGCTTTATGACCCTGGACAAACTTCATAACTTTCTCATGCCTCAGTTTCCTTGACTGTAAAATGAAGAAAGCAATAGTACCTATCTCGAAGAGTTGTGCAAAAATTTTAACAAATTATTTTATTGTAAAGCACTTAGAACAGCAGCTAGCATACAGTAAGCATGAAGTGAGCATTTGCGATTGTTATTTAATAAATGCAACTTTCATCCATGCTCTTTTTCCCTCCTAATTTTGCCATGGAAATCATTTTTATGGAGAGCTCTTAGGTCTCCATCTTTTATGACAGGCTGATTCTGGTCGCATTCCAGCCATCTTCATGGATAGAGGATGGCGACATGGGAAGTGGGAGCTGGACCTGGAGCAGAAAGAGCTGGAAGGTTGGGGTGCAGCCTCGGTCTGGGACAGTTTCACTCTGTGGTGAAGACAGGCTTGCATCCCCTCCCACCATGACCCTTTCTTTTTATTTTATTTAGTTATTTGAGATAGGGTTTTGCTCTGTCACCCAAGCTGGAGTTCAGTGGCATGTCATGGCTTATTGCAGCCTCCATCTCCTGGGCTCAAGGGATCCTCCCACCTCAGCCTTCTGAGTAGCTGGGACCACAGGCATAAGCCACGACACCTGGCTAAGTTTTTGAATTTTTTTTTTTTTTTTTTTTTTTTTGAGACAGAGTCTTACTCTGTCCCCTAGGCTGGAGTGCAGTGGCGCAATCTCGGCTCACTGCAAGCTCTGCCTCCCAGGTTCACACCTTTCTCCTGCCTCAGCCTCCCCAGTAGCTGGGACTACAGGCACCCTCCACCACTCCCGGCTAACTTTTTGTACTTTTAGTAGAGACGGGGTTTCACCATGTTAGCCAGGATGGTGTCGATCTCCTGACCTCGTGATCCGCCCGCCTCGGCCTCCCAAAGTGCTGGGATTACAGGCGTGAACCACCATGCCTGACTGATTTTTTTTTTTTTTTTGTAGGCACAAGGTTTTGCCATGTTGCCCAGGCTGCTCTCGAACTCCTGGACTCAAGTGATCTGCCCGCCTTGGCCTCCCAAAGCACTGGGATTATAGACGTGAGCCACTGCGCCTGATGCAGGACCTTCTCTTGAGCACTCTGGCCCTTGCTGGGGCTGGGGTTCTGCTTGCTTTACTTCTATGAGCCTGTCAGCCTACACCTCAGAAAAATGGGGATGAAGCTGGCTCTGAGGGCGGTGGTCAGGATCAGGTGAGAGGACATGAAGAACTCTTGGTGCTTGTCTTTGTTTGAGTTTTTCTGGAAGCAGCCTCTGAGACAAGATTCTCAGTATTATTTTACAAGTAGTTGATTTGGGAGGTGATCCCAGCAAGCACCAGTAGGAGAAGATATGAGACAGGGAATGGGAGGAAGTCAGCAAATGTGTTAGTGGGATGAGGACAGCCCAGAGCAACTGGAGCTTCATGCCTCTGTGAACTCTGGGAGACTGTGCAGAACACACCCCAGTCAAGCAGGGAGAAAGCTGGGTGTTCATACGTTAACTGCCCAGCTGTCCTTGGTTGAAGCTTTCTTCCAGGAGTGTTCACTCTGGCATTTCCTGCTTGCTTGATTGGCTGAATCTTCTTCCACAGCCAGAAATTAAGAAGCCCCAGGGCTGGGAGGCAGAAGTTCCCAGTAAGCCTTTGGCTTGTGAAGGTAAGTGCTGAGAGGACAACAGTACAAACTGCATCTGCTACAGGCGGTCAACTCCTGATAAGAACTAGTTAATGTAGTTGAGTGCGCTGGCTCATGCCTATAATCCCAGCACTTTGGGAGGCCAAGGCGAGTGGATCACCTGAGGTCGGGAGTTCGAGACCAGCCTGACCAACATGGCGAAACCCAGTCTCTACTGAAAATACAAAAATTAGCTGGGTGTGGTGGTGCAGGCCTGTAATCCCAGCTACTCAGGAGGCTGAAGTCGGAGAATTGCTTAAACCTTTGAGGTGGAGGTTGCAGTGAGCCGAGATCGCACCACTGCACTCCAGCCTGGGAGACAGAGCGAGATTCCATCTCAAAAAAAAGAAAAAAAAAAAAAGAACTAGGTAATGTAGTTGGGTGTGGTGGCTCAGGCCTGCTAATCCTAGCACTTTGGGAGGCCAAGGCGGGAGGATCACTTCACCCCAGGACTCTGAGACCAGCTCGCGCAACACAGCAAAACCTCATCTCTACCAAAAAAAAAAAAAAAATTAGCTGGGCATGGTGGTGGGCACCTGTAGTCCCAGCTATGTGGGAGGATCGCTTGATCCCAGGAGTTCAAGGCTACAGTGAGCTAGGATTGTGGTATTGCACTCTGGCGTGGGCAAGAGAGCAAGAACTTGTCTCTTAAAAAAAAAAAAGTGTAGATTTAAGCATCTTACCTGTCTCACAGGAGTAGAGAAAAACAAAGACCAAGTTAAAGGAGCTTCTTGTAAACGGGCCACTTTTGTCATGTGGCACACTCCAGCCAACTTTCAGCTCCTCCTCCAGATGTGAACCTGCCCTCCCACAAAAGCTGAGTAACAGAAAATCATGACACCCGCCTCAGATTTTGGATGAACTCATGAATGCCTGTTCACCACAGTGAAAGGTCTTCTGGTGCTTGTAGGAGAAGGGCACCCATGCAGGGCTGGGGAGCTGACCAGGTTCAGGTCTCTCTAAGACAACGTGGCAGATGTCAGCTGTTTGGGGAGTGGGGGTCACGGGGATAGTCCAGTGGCCCACTGCTGATGGAGGTTGTGAGTTCTTTCTTTCTTCTCTCTCTTTTTTTTTTGAGATGGAGTCTTGCTTTCCCCCCCAGGCTGGAGTTCAGTGGCACGATCTTGGCTCACTGCAACCTCCACCTCCCGGGTTCAAGTGATTCTCCTGCCTCAGCCTCCCAAGTAGCTGGAACTACAGGCGCTTGCCACCAAACCTGGCTAATTTTTTGTATTTTTAGTACAGATGGGATTTCACCGTATTAGCCAGAATGGTCTCAATCTCCTGATCTTGTGATCTGCCTGCCTCAGTCTCCCAAAGTGCTGGGATTACAGGCGTGAGCTACCATGCCCAGCTGGTTGTGAGCTCTTTCAAGAGTGAATGCCAATGTTTCAAAACATTGGCCATCAACATTTGTGATGTGGCTTGGAGCCATAGGGGGCTTTGGAATTATCCAACTTTATACATTTCCAACGATGGGACAAGCCATCTCCTGCGTCTGAGCCTCATTTCTCATCTATAGCGTGGACATCGTAGTAGGACACCTTCCAGAGGCGAGTTGAGAAGTAAATGTGGTGGTGCATCGTCAGTGCCTGGCACGGTATAGACCAGAAGTTGGCAAACTTTTCCTGTAAAGGGCCAGGCTGTCAATATTTCAGCTTCGTGGGCCACATGGTCTCTGCTGCACCTACTCAAATTTGTAGCATTAAAGCTACTATAGGCAATATATACATCTTATAAAAATAGATGCTGGCTGGGTGTGGTGGCTCATGCCTGTGATCCCAGCACTTTGGGAGGCCGAGGCGGGCAGGTCACGTGAGGTCAGGAGTTTGAGACTAGCCTGGCTAAAATGGAGAAGCTCCATCTCTATTAAAAATACAAAAATTAGCCAGGCGTGGTGGCAGGCATCTGTAGTCCCGTCTACCCGGGAGGCTGAGGCAGGAGAATCACTTGAACCGGGAGGCAGAGGTTGCAGTGAGCCAAGATCACGACACTGCAGCCTGGGCAACAGAGCGAGACTCTGTCTCAAAACAAAAAACAAAAAACAAACAACAAGCAAATGCTTACCCTCTGTATAGGGAATGGGCAGAAATGGGAAGAATCGGGGAGATTTTATCTCTTCCTCCTGAAAGGAACAAATGTTTCTTACCTATCTTTGTGTCCTCCTTCGGCCCAGCATGGGCCTGGGACATATAGGTGCTCAAGAAACATTTACTGAAGGGAGAAAAACAACCTATAGCATGAAGAAGAGAATAGTGTTTGCAGTCCAACAGACCTGTGTCCAAATCAATTTATTCTCTATGTGGCCTGGGCTAAGCCCCTCCTTTTCTCTGAACCTCTTCATCTATAAAATGGGTGTTAAGAGTAACATCTACTGCATAAAGTTGTCGTGTGGGTATTAATGGGCAAAAAGTGTGCATATTGAAAAATATTTTTAAAAAAGAAAGCATGAATAAAGGCTTCCATGATTTTTTACTCATGGCTCTCAACCCTTAGTTCCTCTGGCTTGAGGGGCATTTTTGTCTCCTCCAATCTGTACAACCAGCCTTCTCTGGCCCCTCTTGGACTCTGGGAGGAAGTGAGGGAGGGAATCTCATCTCTGCAGGAGGAAGGAGTGGTTGTCTGTAATAGAGGGTGGCAGGAGAGTCAAGCTTCCTGTTCTGAATTCAGGACCAGGCAGGCAGTAACTGCAGACAATCAGTTTTTGCCTCAAGGGCTCAGTGTTGGCTGTAAAGAATTAATGGCCAAGAAAGGTGTCTACCAATTATTTTTCCACTAAGGTGCAGAGATTACAGAAACACAGCTAAGCCCATTTCAGATCCAGGCCTCCTAGCACTGGCTGGCGATTACCACTCTACAGACCTCCATCCCAGGGGAGTGCTGGGAGTCAGGGGTCTTTCCTTAGAGGGTATGCTCAGACTTCCAAGTGTGTGCAGAACATTCTATGTTTCCACAGGGAAGAGGGAGAAAAAGGAAGGACACATAGGTCTCTTGGTTCAGTTGTCCTAAAAGCAGGCCCTGAGACAAGGATTCAAGTACAGGCAGTGGTCTTGGGAAATCACCCCAGGAAATGCCATTAACAGGGGAGGGAAGTGAGATGGGGAAGGGACAGAACATATGGGTATATTATCCAATCAGTTACACTTTGGACAACTGGAGCTTCATCTCACATGGACTCTGGGAAATGGTGCAACGTATATATCTCAAAATGATCCCATCTGAGGGGTGAGGGAGCTGGGGTATTTATACACCAACTCCTGTGGATCACTAGTTGAAGTGTTACTGGTGGAGGGTGTTCAGGTTGTTGGCATCTTGAACAAAGAATTGGACAAAATGCACAAAGCAAGGAAAGAATGAAGCAACAAAAGCAGAGATTTATTAAAAATGAAAGTACATTCTACAGTGTGGGAGCAGGCCCTGGATACAGAATCTTCTCTGGTCCAAATATCCACTAGAGGTTTCCCATTGGCCACTTGGTGTTCACCTCATGTAAATGAAGTGGTGGTACGCAATCGGAGGCTGAAGTGAAATCACAAAGTTACACTCCTATGCAAACGTCTTGGTACTTTCATTTCCCATCTGCCCTGCAGAAAAGGTGGCGGTTCGCAAAGGGAGTAGACTCTGGTTCTTCTGTTACTTAGGTATGGAAAGTTAGAGTTTTTCTTTCAATTTAGTTCTAGGAAGTCAGCCTGAAAGAGCCTTAGGTTCCCTGCCTCCAGACCCTATTCTCCTGCCTCAGAAGGCTGCTGGGTGGGGGGGGGGGGGGGGGGGGGGGGGGGGGTGGGGGGGGGGGGGGAGTGGGGATGGGGGTGCTGTTAATTACCCAGCACTTCCAGCATCTCTCATTTGGTAGCCAAGAGCATCCTGAGGCAGGAAATGCAGGTGATGGCAGCTGTTGTGTCCTGAAATGGTTAGACCTATGGAACGAGCCAGGTACCCACAGAATCCACTACAACACAGGTTAAAGCTCAACACTGGTCCAGGCACTTCACACCTAAGATTATTTATTTATTTATTTTGAGAACCGAGTCTTGCTCTGTTGCCCAGGGGCAGGCTGGAGTGCAGTAATGCAATCTTGGTGCACTGCAACCTCCGTCTCCCAGGTTCAAGCAATTCTCCTGCTTCAGCCTCCCAAGTAGCTGGGATTACAGGCACCTGCCACCATGCGCAGCTAATTTTTGTATTTTGAGTAGAGACGGGATTTTGCCAAGTTGGCCAGGCTGATCTCTAACTCCTGCCCTCAGGTGATCCGCCTGCCTCGGTCTCCCAAAGTGCTGGGATTACAGGAGTGAGCCACCATGCTCAGCCCTGAGATCTAATTTAATCCCCATGTATATCCAAGACTGAACCTTACTTAGTCTCCTTTCCCCAGACCTATTCCTAAGGGCTGGAAATGGGGAGATGAGTGAAGCTCTCATCCTAGGTGCAAAATGTGAGGGGGCACCAGAAACACAGCCATCAAATAATATTTTGATGCAATATTAAAAAGGAATAAGTGAATGCAAAAAAAATCCATGGTGAGCAAAAGATCAAACATTTTAATCAAGACAGGATCAGTAATAGTGCTGTGCTGAGCCATATTGAAGCCTGAGGCAAAAGGAAAAATCAGTAACCCTGATCTTGTTCTTCATGGATTTTTTTTGCATTCATTTTGATTTTTTAAAAAAATTATTGCATTAAAACATTATTTATCTTGATTAATGATTTTTTGGAGGCACAGTCTTGTGTTTGGTGTCTGAAGTGAGTACCTCACTTGCTCACTCTAGTCCTGACCCTGTTCCCTCTCCCATCTTCCCCATCTTACTGCACAGTGTTCAGTCCACTTAGCTGCTCAAGCCAAAAATCTAGGATCCCCTTGGGCCCCCCTCTTTCTCTCCCCTCTCCCTGCTGTACCATTTCTGGACTTTCAGTTCCACCTCTAAACATCTCTCAAATTTGTCTTTTTTTTTTTGTCTCCATTGCTACAACCCCTCTATAAGGACCTCATTCGTGGCCTCCTTTGGGCAGACAGGAATAGCTTGTTGGATTATCCTGCAAGCTCTGGTGTGTCCACTCACATCAGTGGCTCCAGCAGACATGATAGTGGTTCTTTGTCTTGCCCTCTGATTTCCACCTCTAAGTCCTCCCACATCTGCGTGAGTTCTTGTTTCAATGTGAAATCTGATTCCCACAGTGCTTGTAGAGGCTCTGTTTTTGTGACTGCCCCCTGATGGATCCCCCAAGGCTGTGACTATCTCTCTGCTGCCTTGGCAGCTCCTTGGGCACCCAGAGGCACAGTCTCAGAGCTTCAACGAAGCAAAACCCCTTCTGATTTCTCCTCATCCTCTCACCTTCTGGGAGTTCTATTTTCCTTTTTTTGAGACTGAGTCTTCCTCTGTTGCCTAGGCTGGAGTGCAGTGGCATGATCTCGGCTCACTGCAGCCTCTACCTCCCAGGTTAAAGTGACCCTCCCGCCTCAGCCTCCCAAGTAGCTGGGACTAAAGGTGCACGCCACCATGCCTGGCTAATTTTTGTGTTTTTTGTAGAGATGGGGTTTCACCATGTTGGACAGGCTGGTCTCAAACTCCCGACCTCAAGTGATTCTCCGGTCTCAGCCTCTCAAAGTGCTGGGATTATAGGTGTGAGCCACCAAACCCGGCCCCGGATTCCTACTTTCTTTCCATCCCACACTGGGGCAAGGGCTGAAAGAGGTGGGGGCACTGAATCCCTGAGCATCCCAGGCAATGTCTTTCTCTTGGTTGCATTTTCTCTAAATGTCCCTGTCTCCTTGGTTCCACCTCTGGGCTTGGAAGAGATCCCCTTCTTCTGAGCTCGTTTACTGAATCCCATCATGACTGCTTATAATGTTGCCAGAGCTGAGAACTCCCAGCTTTGCCTTTGCTATGGAAAGGGAAGTTTTTGAAATTAAGAACCTCTCCATATTCCCCACTAGCCTAAATTTTAAGACTATGATCTCTGCACAGATTCAAAGCTAAAGGATGGCCTCTTTATTTCAGGTGGGGTCTGCACTCCTCTTGATTTAATGGGGCTGGGGGTGGTGGAAAGAAGAGACACAGAGTGTCATGACTCACAGGGATGAAAAGTAGATGGATCTGTTTGATAGTTTCAAAAATATTACCCCCTTTACACAGTCAAATGGGTCCCCAAGTTCCCATTACCTTTGCTCTTTTCCTGGGCAGTCATTATTTCTGGAGAGTTCCGGCAAATTCTGTTTAGCGTTTCCTCCTCTCATTGGGGCCATATTTTCTCTCCTTACAGAGACCATCTTTGTCTTGTGCACACCAATGGCTCCTCAGCTCTCTTCTTTAAGTTCTGAATAGATAAAGAAGTTCCTTGAATCACTAATGGTGAAATCCAGACATCGGGCGGCACTTCATCGAGGAAAAGGGAGACCTGGATCCCAATCGTGGACTTGACTGGATGTAATACAGTTCCCGAGTGGAGAATGGGGAAAAGGGTACCACCGAAGTGTATTGTTGGAAGGATGAAATGAGATAATGCCTATATAGTGAAGCTTCACGTAGCAGCTGGCACAGATAATTTAATCAGGGTCTGTTTCCTCCTCTCTTTCTCCACCTTCTGCCATTCTCTGTTTTCTGAGACGAGTCTCACTGTTCTGGAATTCTGGGCTTCCCTGGGCAGAGCCTAGTTTGTTCACCCACTCTGCAACTGACTGTTGTTGAACAGTGCAGTGGTTAAGTGGGCAGCTGCTAATCAAATGACTAATTATTACTGTGACATTCTCAGCACAGAGCCAGGCGTGCCGGTCCTCCAGTCCCATGAGCTGAGGATTTCTCCAGTGCCATCTGATCTTCATCATTATTGTACACATACATACACACACTCACATCTTGGATCCTGGCGTCTGGGAATCTTGGGTCAGCAGAGGTGACGGGTTAAGGGAGGTGAGTGGGGGAGCACAGGAGAGACCAGAAGTCCCTCTAGGCACCTACAGCTACCCCTCCCCACCACCCGCTGATATGGTTTGGCTGTGTCCCTACCCAAATCTCACCTTGAATTGTAATAATCCTCACGTGTCAAGGGCAGGGTCAGGTGGAGATGATTGAATCATGCGGGCGGTTTCCCCTATACTGTTCTCTTGGTAGAGGATAAGTCTCACGAGATCTGATAGTTTTATAAATGGTAGTTCCCCTTCACAAGCTCTATTGCCTGCTGCCATGTGAGACCTAACTTTGTTCTTCGTTGGACTTCTGCCATGGTTGTGAGGCCTCCCCAGCCATATGGAACTGTGAGTCAGTTAAACCTCTTTCCTTTAGAAATTACCCAGTCTCAGATATGTCTTTTTTTTTTTTTTTTTTTAAATCTCAGCTCACTGCAACCTCTGCCTCCTGGATTCAAGTGATTCTCGTGTCTCAGCCTCCCGAGTAGCTGGGACTACAGGCATGGGTCATCATGCTCAACTAATTTTTGTATTTTTAGTAGAGACGGGGGGTTTCACCATATTGGCCAGGCTGGTCTCGAACTCCTGACCTCAAGCGATATGCCCACCTCGGCCTCCCAAAGTATTGGGATGACAGGCGTGAGCCACCGCTCCTGGCCAGGTATGTCTTTATTAGCAGCGTGAGAACAGTCTAATATATCCTCCTTAGCCACTTACCTGCACAGCCCTTATAGCCTGGGGCTTCCTTTTTGTCACACCTATTTTGAGTCCTGAGCGCAAGCAGATGAGTGGAATATAGTCCTATAAAGCTCAATGTGGCATGGTCACTGCTGATCTCTTTACCTTGGTCCTCAATTGCCCCTTCCCTCTGTCCTTGTGCTGCAGTCACAATAATCTCTCTCTCTCTCTCTCTCTTTTTTTTTTTTTTTGAGATGGGGTCTTACTCTGTTGCTTAGGCTGGAGTGCAGTGACTCGATCCTAGCTCACTGCAGCCTTGAACTCAAGCTAAAGCAATCCTCCCTTCTCAGCCTCCTGAGTAGCTGGGACTACAGGCACACACCACCACGCATGGCTAATTTTTACCTTTTTTGTAGAGGTGGGAGATCTCACTCTGTTGCCCAGGCTGGTCTCAAACTCCTGGCCTCAAGCAATCCTCCCACGTTGGGCTCCCAAAGTGCTGAGATTACAGGCATGAGCCAGTGCACCAGGCCACAATAACCTCCTTTTGGTGACTAGAAAACACCAAACTTATTCTGCTCAGAGCCTCATCACCTGCCCTGCCTGTTCTCTTCTCTTCCTGTGGCTGGCTTTGCATCCTTCAGATCTTAGCTCACATATCCTTTCTTCAGAGAAGTCTTCCCTGACTATCCTCTCTAAAGAGGATCCTACAGAGATTAGTTATTACAGCACTTCACACATTTCCTTCCTTCACAGCATCTATCACAACTGTAATTTTTCTAACCCACGTCTTCATTTGCTTTTCTACTCCCCCAGCAGCTTGTACACTCCATGAGGGCAAGAGTTATTTTCTTCTGTTCATTACTCCACCACCACCTAGAAGAGTGCAGGCACAGAGTACGTCTGAAGAACCATCTAGAAGAGTGCTGGCACAGACTAGGTGGTTAATAAATATTTATACAATCAGTGATCTCCATGTTCCTTTTCATTTTATTGTCCTATATGAATTTTGCAGACAGCCCAATGGGTCATCAGATTGACTCAATTTGAGAACAATTTCTGGGGCCAAATCTCCTCACTTATTTATTTATTTAGAGACAGAGTGTCACTGTCATCCCCTTCTCACTCTTTAGAAGCAGCTGGGGTTGGATCTTTCAACATGTGATGCCCGAGCCTCCTTGAGACCGATCCTGGACTCACATTGCCACGGCCAGCCCAGCAGGCTCCTTCCTTCCTTCCTTCCTTCCTTCCTTCCTTCCTTCCTTCCTTCCTTCCTTCCTTCCTTCCACCGGCCCTCGCGCCTGCCCGGGCTGGGGAGGCCCAACCCACCACCCCCGCCCGCCCCCAGGGTCCTCAAGCGCGAGCGCGCGGGGGTGGGACCACTGCGGGCTTGTGAGATGAAGGGGCTGGACGCGATGTGCGGCTCCTGCGGCTTGATGATCGCGCCGCTGCAGAGTTCGCTGTCGCAGTTTGTAACGGCGGCCATGGCGGCCATCGCGGGAGTCCCCGAACTCCACGAAGCCGTACCTGGGGCGGTGCCAGGGCCGACAACGGCGGGGGCGTCGTTAGCCAGGGCAAGGCTCGTGCGCGCGCCCGCACCCTCAAGGCGCCCCGCGACGCCGCGCCGTCGCCATCTTGGAGGCCCTAAGCACAGTGCGCCGCGGCCTTGGCCGCCTTTTCCTTGAGAGAGTTCCCTGCCGCCACCAGGCTCCGGACGCTGGGCGGCGCGGGCGCCCAGGCCCGACTCACCCATTTTGGAGATCTACTTTCGAGGAGGCCACAGCCACTGAAAAAGCGCTGATGTCCTTCGCGGACGTTGTAGCTCAGGCGTCCTATGTAGACGCGCGGCATGTCCGTGGCGGGCGGGGGCCCAAGGGCTGGTTGTCGAACGGCGGACCGCAAGCCAGTACCGCGGTGCGGGTGCGGGGACGGCAAGAGCCCGAACACGCCTCTCACATCACAGCGGCGGCCGAGTCCAGCCACACAATGATGCGCGCGCGCGCCAGGCTTACGCTATATGGGCAGCCAGTGGGGCGGGGCCTGGCGCGTGACGTTAGCGCGCAGCGGCACGTCCGTCCCCCGTCAGCCCTGGGCCAAAGGGGACGAAGTGAACAGATTTAGCTAGCCTGCTGCCCGCGACGTGTTTCGGTGTAGCGCGGCCTGACGGGTTTTGTGATTTTTATCAACCTTCTCGCAACACCGTCTCTTTGAAAACACAATGTTCTAATGCAACCGCAGAATTGTTTTCAATTTGTACCTTTATAAAACTCTGCGCGATCGATCTTTGGGGTTAGCGCTCGCGAGGCGGGCTGGAGAGAATCCTCTCGTTTTTCATTGGTTCTCGAGGTGGTTTATAATGGGTCGCCGCGGTCTCTGATTGGTGGGTTAAAACGAGGCTGCTCTTTTCCCCTAGCGATTGGTTGGTGCCTGCTTTGTGGGGATAGCGCTCTCGACCCAGTCGCCGGTCCGGTTTCGCAGAACCGAGGATCGCGCGCTGAGGTCTTGCCGACCGGGCGGGTCGCGCTGCGAGCTTGCAGAGCCGCCGACATCAGCCTCTATGGCCTCACTTCAGCTTTTCAGTTTGGCCTCCCTGACGTCTCTCCCAGGGCCTTGGTTTGTGTAACTTGACTACTGGGGATTGGGGGCCTGGAATCTGCGCTACCAGGTTTGCAGGGAGTGCGGAGGAGACCCTAAGCCTTCTCAGCAGTTATGAAATAATTTTTTTTTCCTGGTATGGGTAAGCCCTGGTCCTAAGATGCATTAGTTTTCGGCTTACTGGAAAGGCCTTGATTTGTGAGTTTATCAATGGAGATGCTATTTAAAGCTGAGAACTGTGATGAAAACCTCTGTCTAAGCTAGTGAGCGGAAGACCCAGGCCAACAGCCTGGGCAGTACTTGAAAATTTAAGTACAGGAAAGGAGACTGACGGAGAGGACGAGTAGGAGACCTAGGAGAGAGGGTGTCACCAAGCTAAAAAAAAAAAAAAAAAAAGGGAGGGAGGATTACTAGATAGCACCCAGCTCTTTAGATATTTTTGGCACCTGTCGTGAGGAAACTCTATAGCATCCCTTCCAGCCCACAGTAAGGGGGCTGGTCTCCTGGGATGGTCAAAGCCTGGAGGGAACGCGATGGTTTTCACGCCACTTGGGGAGTGGTAGGACGCTGGTGCTGTGCTTAGATAAAGCAAAAAGCATTTAGCTCAGAAATCTCGGCACTTCAAGCCAAGCAAGAGGATCTTTAAGTCTAGAGTCTGGCATGCAGGAGCTACCACTGTGGCGGCCAACAGCCAGTAAGGTAAGCAGACTTAAATTTCGAAAGATAGAACATAAACTCCCCAATTACACTCGGTAGGGCATGCACCAAGTATAAGTATATGAAGCTTACTAAGAAGTGATTTCTTTTTGGCCTCAAATGGCATCCCAAGCGATTGGTCCATTTTACAGAGCGCTGATTGGTCCATTTTACAGAATGCTGATTGGTCCATTTTTACAGAGTGCTGATTGGTACGTTTACCAACCTTTAGCTAGACACAGAGTGCTGATTGGGGGCGGGTAACTTTAGGGCGTAGATGTGGTGCCTTCAGCCCTCACTGAATCGAAGTCCACCAGTCAAATCCCTGGGTAGGTGTATTAAGGGCCTTCCTAACTTGAAACCCCCAAACCTGTAAAGTGTGGCATTGGTGCAGGGCTGAAAGGGACTTGCAGATCTGTTGCTTGGAGACCTTGATGCAGAGGCCCTGGATGATTCTGTAAATGCATGTGGATTTGCAGGAAGGGTGTGGAGGGGGATAGAGGAGCCAGCTGGGAGGGGGCTGGGGATGGAGTGTGTTGAGGGCTGGGATTGGGGTCAGAGTGATTGACTGTATGAAGTCACAACCGGTTAATGGCTTTGAAGATGGAGGAAGGAATCATAAGCCAAAGAGTGCCAGCAGCTCTGGAAGCTGGAAGACAGGGAGGGAACAGATTCTCCCCAGAGCCTCCCGAGGAATGCAGCCTCTAGGCTAGGCGTGGGGTTTGCACTTGTGTAATTCTGCCACTTGCAACTCTCCGCCTTGGGCTTGAGGGTTTTCTGGTTCGCTTGTAGCTGAAGCGGCAAACAGCCACCACGCCCAGCCACTGGGATGAGAGACGGGCCACTGGTGCTAGTCAGGGCTACTCTGATCTCGAACCCAAACCCCAGGTGATCCACCGCCTGGCCTCTCAAGGTGGAGCGACTACACAGCCCAAACACTCCAGCTGAGATGGTCTTGCCGAAGTGAGGAACCTAAAGATCTTCAGCTGCTGCAAAGCGGGGGGTGGCGGGGGAGGTGAAGGCTCCTCCTGGATGGCTGGTAGCCTGAGGGGGAAGTCAAAGTGATGGTCAACACTTGGGGAGGTAGAGACCAAGGGAAGTGAGAAAAATATGAGCCTGTAACTGTAACTTAAACGAGACAGACTCCTTGTTTAGAGGTTTGAAGTGGAAAGCGGTG